TCAGAGATTACTAAAAATAAAATTTTATATAGAAATTTATCAAATATTGTATTTTTATATAGTAAATTTTTAAATTTTGGCCTATTTTATGTCTATTTGGCTAATATTATACAAACTCAAATTGAGTTGTATCAGAATTCTTTAGAGTCCTGTTATGGTTAAGTCAACTAATAAACTAGTTATTTTAATAGTTAACCGAATATATTATAGTTAATTAAATATATTATAGTTAATCGATTATACTATAGTTAACTATTAAACATAATAGATTTTGCTTAACAATAATTTAAATTATTACTTTATATTATCTAAATATTCTTACAGTTTCAATTCAGATATTTATTTACTAAACACTAAATAGTTTAATGTATTATTATCTACATTTAATAAAGAACTATTAAACTTTAATTATATTAATACATTGTATTTAAAATTAGATAGATAGACATAATAATAATATTAACTATTACTATAAGCAATAATATCAGATTATGATTGGTTGTATATAATTTTATAGTTCTATAGAACCATAAAATCTAAAATGATAGAATCTGCAAAGGTATACTATAATTAGCATAATTGATATAATATTAATAATAATAAGATTATACCATATGAAGTTTAATGATTTAAGTCTATAAAGCTATTTAAGAGTTAATTGTAGTCTATTAGTAATGTGATTTAAGAGTCAATTAGATCAATAATATAATTGTATATAATCAAAAAATTAAATAAATAGAAGATTCGATCTAAACTTTGATTTTTTTGTTAATATTTTGTGACCTGCTAATTAAATAGTAAAGAGAATATGAAAAAGGTAGTATTAAGTGAGAAAACAAAAACTGAAATAGTATAGTAAATGAGTACAGAAATGAACTAATAAAATAAATAATTATACAATCTATCTGTTAGAATTAAATATCTAAAGATTTATTAACTCTTGTCAAATAGCTTTTGGTTTTATTGTAATATTATTTTAGTTTAAAATCTTAATATACAATATTAAAAAAGGTATCAAATTTCGATAAGATATAAAATTGACTAGTTAAATTTAGTTGATTAAAAGATTATTGACTACTAATACTAGATTATATATAATAATAATATTAATTAAAAAATATCTATGATATTATAATAATTATATTTTTGCTAAAGCCTAGTAGAACAGGTTATTTAATAATATAATTGTTTAACAACTAATTTATTAAATAATTAATTATACTATTTTTAAAATAGAAGATTTAATGATAATAATATCAAATAGCATGTTTTAGTAGATCTAGTCTAATAGATTAGATGATAATCTAATAAGTTTTAAGTATATCTAATAGTTCAATGCAATTCATTAAATCTTTTTTGCAGAATGGTGCAGAATAGATTCTTAATAAATTGAAACAACCATCCTAATCATTCGTCAGACTAATAACAGCAAATCAAACAAAAGATTCAATATGATCAAATCAAGAAGTTATATTTACAATACCTATATTTTAAAATGGCAGGATCAAAATGATAGTATAATAGGTTTGTATTAGAAAAAAAAAAAGAAAGTATTGTTAATAAGGATGATAACATCTAAAAATAAACAAATAAAAGAGAAATATATATATTGCAATATAGAACAATCAATAGTGAAAAAAATTGTAAAAAAAAAATAATCAGATCTAAAAATAGCTTAAAAGAAAAAATATATAAAAGCAGTAACAAAAATAATTTATTACAGTTAGGAATTTTACTGAATTTGGAAATATAAATTATTCTCTTTTTTGTTAAAAGATCTTCAATTAGAAAATTCTTTTTAATTCTATAGCACGAAATTTGTACTAATCATTGGTTGTATTTTTATTTGATATATAACTGTCTTTTAAAATCTTGTAGATCCTAGTAGATCTTTGGACTATATGCTTAGAGGATAACTTTTGCAAAAAAATTTTAAAGGTTTTTTTTTAAATTGATTGTTTTTTTTTAAATTACAAAAAACACCTTTTTTTAAATAAAAATTAATTTTAAAATAATATTGTAATATATTGCAAATCAATTTCTATATCAGATAAAATCTCTAACTATATTAGAGTTTTTATACTCAATATATCTGCCAATATAAACTCATAAAACTATCTAGCTTCGTAATAATAACTATACTTTTATTTCACTTACAAGTTTTTTAAAAATTTAATAAACATTTCAATTATAAAAAATTTTATAATTTAAATGAAGAAACTTTTAAGTAAAATGGACTTAGACATTAACAATAATAGCTTTGAAGATGAAGTAGATTTTATAGATCAAATAAATTATATGAATAAAATGGGTTATAAAGATGTAATAGATCTTGAAAATAATGATCCAGAATAACAAGAGATAGAAAAAACAAGTTACTAATACTACACAAGTAAAAAAAGCAATTTCTAAAAAACAAAAGCATAATGTAAACAATTCTCAATCAGAAACAGAAACATTTATATCCACTCTTACCAAAAAATCTAGTATTGTACAAAGTAACTTACTCAAAAAAAAGGTAGATCACAAATTAGAAGCTGGGTTTGGAAGTATTTTGATAGACTTATATCTTTATTAGATAAAGCTGTATGTGGAAAATATAAAACAATAAAAAATCAAAAAAAATGTGGATATACAATCAATACAGAAAATTCTATAAACAATATGAAATATTATCTTTTGAGTATGCATAGTTTAACAGAAAATAAGCCAATATCACATAATTCAAACCAAATAAGCATTAATAATTTTTTTTAATTAGTATCATATAATAATATTAAAAGAAAAATAACTATTGATCAAGCTTTGACTAAATTTATTATTTTAAAAATCAACCTCTTTTTATAATTTCTAGTAAATCATTTATTAATTTTATTAAAGCACTTGACCTTTATTACAAACTTCCTTCTAATATAAAATTAAAAGAATTTATTTATTAAGGGTTTAATTAGATACAAAATTATATTAAAACATTGTTTCTGATAGTACTACTTTTGTTAATCTAACTACTAATATATAGACTGCTTGAAATAATATTGGTTATTTCAGGGCTATATATTCTTGGTTTACTTTTAATTTTGAAATAAAAGAAGTTATGCTTAGTATAAAAGAACTCAAATATTCATATACAGAACTATCAATTGCAATTACTTTACAAAAAATAATTAAAGAATGGAGTTTAACTAATAAAGTTTTTATTATAACCACTGACAATAGTACGAATATAGTTAAAGCAGTTAGATATATAGATGGTATAAGTTATTTACCTTGTATATTACATACTTTGCAATTGGTTGTTGGGAAAGATCTTAATCCTGTTAAAGTTTTAATTGCATAGATTAAAAGATTAATTCATTTTTTTATGAGTTCAAAGCAATTAAAATGTTTTGTTAAAGCACAACATTATTTGAAAGTTTAAAAAAATGATATATTAATTAATAATCATGAATACTTACACACAATTGCTAATATATCTACTAGATAGAACTATTTCTACCTTGCTTAGACACATCTTTTGAAGCTTAAATATGCTATTGTAGTTATAATAATTAATTTAGCTAATAAAACTGATCAACAAAGCAAAAAAATTATCAATGATTAAAATATATTGTTTTAACTGAAAATAAATAGTTTTTATTAGCTGATCTTACTAAAGTTCTTAAATAATTTTATGATACAACAAATTTATTAAATGGTAGTTAGTATTCTACAATATTCTTTATATATACAGCAATTATAACAATTAAGCAAAATTTAAGTACAAATATTGTTAAAGATAAAGTAATAGACTATATATACTTATCTGATACTTTTGATGATGATCTAGATTTACAAGATGATAAGAAAGATTATGACCAAATTATAGCAAAAGAGAAAATATATAAAAAATTTAAAAATTAATAATCCTCAAGTTACTAATAGAGTTCTTAATAAAGTTAAAATTGCTTTTTTAAAAAATTTAAATTATTATTAAAAATTACCTACAAATAAAGCTTTATTAGCAACAATATTAGACTTATACAATAAGAGAATGAATAAAGCAACAGCTACTAATTGGTTTAAAGCTGAAAGTTTTTTAATTACAGAATATAAACTTTTAAAATTTGATAAATTAGAAACTAATATCCAAAATAATTCTGAGAAAAATGAATTACTACATGCAATATATAGTTTTAATCTACAAAGAGTAGAGACAAATAAAGTTGAAAGCTATTTGGTGCTTAATCTAATTCTAAACAATCAAAATCCGTTAGTTTGATAGAAAAAACAAAAAAATTTATTTTTAGTTTTTAGCCAATTAGCTAGAAAATATCTTGAAATTGCTGCAACTTCTACTTCTAGTGAATGATTGTTTTCAAATACAATAACTAATAAAAGAACTCACTTAAGTTCTAAGTTTTTTGAAACCATAGTTTTTTTAAAATAAAATATTAAAGTTGCAAATTCTATATTTCCTAATAATAATTAGATCAATTAATATTATTTTTATATTTTGCAAGAGTTCTTATTATAGATTCTTTTTTGTTTATTATAAAAGGCAAATACAAGCAAAGAGGATAGAAAGAATTGTGTGCAAAAGATTTTGATTTATATTAGAAATAATTGTAGAGAGTATAAAGAAAATTATATACAAGAGAATTTTATTAGTAATATGCAAGAAGTTTTTGATTAGTATTAGAGAGAATTTTTTTATCATACATAAAGATATATACTATTATATCTTGCCAATTTGAAGTATTATTAATAAATAACTTATGTATATTGTTTTGAAATTAGTATAAGTTTTATTCAGTGTATAAAATTTTTAAGTAATTTAGAATAATTTTAAGTATCTCACTCAATAAATCAGAAGCAAATTTTTAATAGTTAGAAATTGAATAAATTAATCAAATGAGCTACTATTGTAATGAACAATCAGTAATCTACAAACTATCTTTTTTTTTAAAAATTTACTATTAATAAAGGTTGCTTAAGTATTATATTTAATTTTTTATATATCAAACATAACATACAATAAATTTTTAACAAATTACAAACTAATATAAAAAAATAGCTACTTTATTTTTAATTCTCAAAGCTTTTAAAATAAATATTCAATATTTTGATATGAATATAAAATAAATACATTATTTTTTAATATTTAATCAAACCAAAAAAAAAACTCTTATAATAAAATTATTGTCTACTAATTAGAATGATTTTTGCTATTCTGTTTTTTATTCAATAAATTAAAAAATTAAGATTTATAAAAAAAAATTTATTTCTTGTAGCTATAAAGCAATTTTTACTAATAATTAATTCTGTTACTATTACAACAAATAATTTAAATTAATAAAATCATTAAAAAAAGAGGGCAATACAGACAAAGTTAAAGTTTTAGCAATTGGTTAAATAGAAATTTTTTAAGATGTTTTAGATAGCATAATATAAATTATGAAAATAGAAAAAAAGTATACTCAAGCATTTAATTCTATAAATATCATCACTGATTGTGATGCTTGAGCATAATTATCTAGAGAATAGGCTTGCAAACCTGGATAGAACAATTATATAGAAGTTAAATACTAAATATTATTATTATGCAAAATATAAAGAATCTATATTTTTTATAAAGTTTTATCAGTTAATTATAAGTTTTAATCAGAGTTAACCAGTTATAGATTTTTTTTAATAGGTTTAATTATTGGTTAATCGGTTTAACCCAGTTTAGATTACTATTAGAAAGTATATTACTAAAATTAATATTTAAGATTTTATTAAAAAATTAGTATGTAAAAAAAAATATAAAAAATTTGCTTGTATTACAATTTAAAGAATAAAATTTTTTAGAAATACAGTAGAAATCTAAAGATAGTCTACCTTTATATTTCTTAATAAATATATATTTTATCTCTAAATTATTGTCTGCTCAAACTATTATAAATAGAAGTATAGTTTCTAATTAAAATAAAAATTATATTTATCTTTTAAATATCACTAAAAACCTGTAAAGAAATTTTTATTATAATATAGTAAGAATCATAAGTATACTACCTTCTTTAACTTTTAAATAAAAAAGCTATAGCTTTAAATTTTTATAGTAAATAATATTAAATAAAGAGTATATTTATTTATTACCTAGCAATATAATATTCTTATATGATCAACCAATAAAAATTCAAAATTAGGTATAATTTACACAATCAAAAAAATTTAAAACAAATGTTCATTTTGACAAAAATTGTCTATAACTCAAAATTTTGGATATAAAACTATTCTTTGTGCTCTAATAAAAAAAATTTCTTGCAAAATTTTACTATAAAGTCTACTCTTCGCCTATACTCTAACCCAACCTAACCCAGTCCTAACTATATAAAATAATTCAGTTTATTTTAGTTATTTTGATTTATATTATGGGGTAACAATATTGTATATGCAATATATAAATTATCTTTTAAATAAATATAGTTTTTTTAATTACTACAAAATTAGACAATAATTTTTTTGATAACAACAACCAAAAAACTGAACTATAAAAAAATATTATAGAAGATGCTGAAATAAATAATAAACTTAGTTTTACAAAAATAAATGTATTGTTAATGAAGTATTAAGAGTATAAAACTAGAAAGTAGTTTATTTTAAACTAGTTTTAGTAGAGGTCAAGCTTTAGTTGATTAACTTCTCTATTTTATTTGGTATCCAAACTAGAAGAATATTTTAAAAACACAGAATGACAAGATCAATATCAAGAGTATTCCAAACTTTGAGTTCTTTCTATATAATAATAAAATTTACAAGGAACAATTACAAAAAAGTCTTGTTAGCCTACTATTTTTTAAAGTAAATTTTGTCAAAAAGTGGGTATTTTAGTTTACCTTCTTCAAAAGATCAATATATAATTTTTTAAAGCACTCGGATAATGTGTACCAGGTTAGTACATTATTGTGGCTGATAATAATCGATACCCCGATTCCGATCATAATGCAAATCGAAATAATAATTTGTAATAAGCTTTTATGATATGTAATTAAATAAAAATAAAATCATAAAAAAAAAAAGTATTTGTCATAACGATGCAAAATTACTCAAGTGAAAGAAAAACTTTACCTATTCCGCTTCGACAA